CTACTACCTACGGGTCATGCTACTATACACTTGCAGAGCTACATTAGAATTTACAAACAGTTAATGGAATCCACCGTTTAAAGATGCAGCACGGGCAGCTGGGTACCTGAAAGAGAACAATAAATACCACCACACTTTACAAGAAGCATCTTTGCTTCAAATGTCATCAGAAACATAATTTGTTTCAGCAAAACCACGCCCCAGCGCTTAGGAAAGAATTGAAGACTGCCATGTTGGACGACCAAATGATGTTAGAACAAGAAAGTGAAGCATACACATATGCTGATATTGGGCGAATTGTCTCCAATTGTGGGCAATTATTACCACCATTATACCAGCGCCAAAATATCCTTTGCCAATGCCTGATGAAACCACAATAAACATCGCAGAATGTTAGCAAAAGGCTGCTGAACTGTACTCGACTCTGGATAAAGAACAAAAAACAGCTGCAGATGCTTTTCTTACATGCATCAATAGTAACGAACGATGCTTCTTCATCAATGGGCCAGGCGAGTTGGGTATGACACACCTATACACAACCATCACCCACATTTTTGCTGGACAAAACAAAAAGATTCTAACCGTTTTGTAGTCAGGTATTGCTGCTACTTTGCTGCCACTTGAACAAACAGTGCATTCTGCATTCAAACTGCCAGTGCCTCTGGCAGCAGCTAATTCACATCGTTGCTCAAAAGTCAAAGTAAACGAGCCAATTTTTCCAGCAAATTAAATCAATTATCTGGAACGAGGTGTCAATGGTGCCTCAATTTGGACTAAAAGCAGTAGCTACTTTGTTACGCGACATTATGAAAACTGAAATATCATTTGAAGGCAAAATTGTTGTTCTTGGTGACGACTTTTTGACAAGTGCCTCCTGTAGTTCCAAAAGCATCCAGGGATTAAATTGTGGAGGCGTCAATCAAGTGATTGCTTTTATGGCGTTATTTCAAAACCTTCACATTAATGCGAAATATGCGAGTGCATTACAACGCATCTGGATGGGCTGAATTTTGACTGGAAATTGGCAATGGCGAAATAGAACAAAACGATAAGGGAAAAATAGAATTACCACATCAGTGCTTTAGCCCCAATCTCATTAACAACGTCTTTGGAGAAATAGTATTACTCGAAGAGATAGGTACATTATCAGAAAAAGTTGATTCTTTAGCAATAAACAACGAGATTTTAAGACTATTACCTGGAGTGGAAAAAAACTACAAAAGTGTTATCGAAGCTGAATGCGAGGTAAATGCCGACAGAACACAATTTCCGCTAGAATTCCTCAACAGCATTATTTTGCCTGGATATCAGCCGCATGAATTAAAGTTAAAGGTTGGTTGGCGGGTTGGTTGGTTCATTAAAGGTTGGCGCAATTGTAATGTCATTAAGGGACCTCGACGTCAAAAATGGATTATGCAATGGAACGAGACATATCATTGAACGGCTCGAGAAACTACGAACAGCAGCTACAAAGGCAGATTTATTTTAGTCCAACGAGTTACGATATGCCCGAACGATCAGACGCTACTGTTTCGTCTGCGTCGAGATCAGTTTCCAGCTCGTCTATCATTCGCAATGACGATAACTAAGTTGCCTATATTTTCGTTGTAAAAATTAAAATGCGTTTTTTGTAAATACTTTGTAATGTTAAATACTATTTTATTTACAAAATAAATTTATAAAAATAAAAACGAAAGTGTAAGCAGAGTTATTATATATTGAAGGATAGTATAAGCATGTAATCGGTATACAATGCAAAAAAAAAAACAGAAAAGTTTTCTTTAAAATTATTTTACTCAAATATTTTACTTAAACATGTTTATCGAAACTTGTATATAAATAAAAGACGAAGTATATATAAATATGAATATCTGTAGTATGTAAAAGTATCTGGAGTATTTATAAATAAAAGACAATATAAACCACGTCTGAACGTCCTTTAAATATAGTAAAACAAAAATATAAAAAACCTGGTTTTTCAAAACAATCAGCATCGGCCGATGGTTACCAAGACCGATGCCAATGCCGACACATCGGCATCAGTTATACTAATATATATATATATATATATATATATATATATATATATATATATATATATATATATATATATATATATATATATATATATATATATATATATATATATATATATATATATATATATATATATATATATACTGTACACTGTACATTTATAAATAACGTTGGAGGCTCTACATTTTCCTATTATAGGGCAGTTTTCTTTATTTAGACAATTGCAGGGTGGGTATTCTTTTGGTTTTTTTGAACTGGTTTTTATGTTGCGGCTTTTTATAATTTTCATAATATTTTTGGTGCAGCTGTCACTCACTTTGATGGTTTTTCGATTGAATACTTTACTTAGCGGATGGGATGTTGGAAAATGTTTGTCGATTAAGTTTAGGAAGATATGTCCGATACTGGTAGAAACGCCTTTACTATACGGGGGTTAAACCATATTATATTTCTTTTTCTTTTCTTTTTTTCTCTTTTTTCGGGATTATACTTTAAATTGAAACCAGTGAAGCCATTTCTTCTTAATTCATCTTCGTATTCTAATAACTAAATGTTTTTTCATTTGAGAAATTTTGTGATGATCTGTCGTTGATTGAGATGGGAATTTGCTTTATTATTTGCGGAGGATGATTGGACTCAGTGTGGATGTAATGTAGATATTCATTTGAAAGGTTGATAAGAGTTTTTTTCTAAGTTAAAGGAGACAACTAAGAAGTTAACTGCGGGTAGGTTTGTTTGAATTTCTATTTTAAAACCGATCTTTTATATAACTTTAATTATGTTTTTTTTGTAGGCTATCAATTTTTGATCCAGTTTTTTTACGAAGAACCATCAAACCATCGTCACGATATAGTCCAACATCTTCTTTATTTATTATTTTAGATAATGAGTCTAATATATATAGGCCCACCAGTTCACAAACTTCTGCACCGTCAAAACAACCCATTGTGACATCAAAGCAGTAGTGTCCCAGTGGGAAAAAAGACGTTGAAAAGACGTCTCGAAAAGTCTTATTTACTTAAGACTTAGACGTCGAAAAGACGTCTTTTTTAATCGATTATGCAAATCTAAAAGACATCTTTTTTCGACATCGAAAAGACGTCTTTTTTTATCTTAATCTTGTCATAAAAAGACATAAAAAATACGTCTTTAAGACGCCTTTTTTTAGTCGAATATGCAAATCTAAAAGACAATTTTTTTAGACATCGAAAAGACGTCTTGTCATAAAAAGACATTAAAAAATGCGTCTTTAAGACGTCTTTGTTTATCAATTATGCACTTCTAAACAAGTTTTTTTCCTCGGGGTCCGAACAATTTTTTTGTCATGCTTATTTGTATACTATAGTATCCTATAAACTATAGTATTCCTACTTTTCATATATGAAAAGCTGTTTTTATCAAATGAAAATGATAATAGCTCTTCATACAAAGTATGACAAAAAGCTCTTCCCTTACAAAAAAACCCAGCGAACTTCCAGCGAAAGTTCGCTGGAAATTAAAAGATCACTGGAAATTTACTAAGATCACTGGGTTTTCGCTGGATTTCCATGGAAACAAAAGACTTCGCTGGAAGTTCGCTGGAAAACTTCCAGTGATCTTAAAGTTCGCAGGAAGTTTACTGGGTTTCTTGCGAAATATTTCGCGGTGATGTAAAAAGCGTTGCTGTTACAACTTCTGCAAGCAGTTAAAACTTGGAAAATTGATAATATAGCTTCTTAAAATAATATTTCAAATTTTTGTATAAAAGTAATCCTTTTTATTTTATTTTTTGCATCTAATAGATGATCTATAGTGTGAGTTTCAATTATTATTAGTTCTACTCAAGTTACAAAACAAAATCATCTGGTATGTTGCTCAAAATGTTTATTTCTCTTAAGTATTGTTTATTATGCATTCGCTTTATGCGAATGCATTTTATTTATTAAATTCAACTTTATTATTTTATAAAAATAATTTTTATAAATGTCTTTATGATTAAGTATTTTATATTAAAAATAATAAATAACAATCTGTTTCTCTCTCTCACTGAATGAGAGGGATATATAATAAATATCCCTCTCTCTCTCAGTATATATATATATATATATATATATATATATATAAATATATATATATATATATATATATATATATATAAATATATATATAAATATATATATATATATATATATATATATATATATATATATATATATATATATATATATATATATATATATATATAATATGTTAGTGTATTCTACAATTAGAGTGCTCAACGTTCTTAAAGAACAGAGCAATAATAAATTAGTATATATATATATATATATATATATATATATATATATATATATATATATATATATATATATATATATATATATATATATATATAATATGTTAGTGTATTCTACAAATAGAGTGCTCAACGTTCTTAAAGAACAGAGCAATAATAAATTAGTATATATATATATATATATATATATATATATATATATATATATATATATATATATATATATATATATATATATATATATATATATAATATGTTAGTGTATTCTACAAATAGAGTGCTCAACGTTCTTAAAGAACAGAGCAATAATAAATTAGTAAAAACACTTATCTAATTTTTATTTTCTTCTACAGCTTGTTTCTCCATCAGTAGGATCATCAGGAAGGAATCTTTCTGATAATCCAACTGATGGAGAAACAAGCTGTAGAAGAAAATAAAAATTAGATAAGTGTTTTTACTAATTTATATATATATATATATATATATATATATATATATATATATATATATATATATATATATATATATATATATATATATATATATATATATATATATATATATATATATATATAGTTATAGTTATCTATATATATATATATATATATCTTCACTATATATATATATATATATATATATATATATATATATATATATATATATATATATATATATATATATAGTGAAGTTGCTTTAAGTACTAATAAGCAATGTACAAAATGTTTGAAATATTTTACATTATCCTATCTTTATAAGAAATGCAGTTATTTTCATATTTTAAACATAAACAAACAGCATAAAAACATGTGTGATAACAATTGGATACATTTAGCAAGTCTTGAAGAAAATGTGCAAGCAACAATTAGACTTGTTGTTAATACTGATGGAATTCCTGTTTTTAAATTATCAAAGTGGACCTTGTGGCCTTTGCTAGCATCCATTCATAATTTTCCATATTCATTGCAAATTACTAATATTTTGTTTTTTGGTTTCTGGTCCTGTTTTAAAAAACTAAACGTGCAATTATTTTTATCTTGTTTTGTTGATTTTTTACTAACCTATCCACTACTGGTATACTCTTATCTAATAATGTTTGTGTTTTTTTTTTCATGTATCTATTTTTTTGTGTGATACAATTGCAGGAGCTATGGTTTTTTGTTGTAGGTAGTTAAATGATTATAATGGTTGCCATTGGTGTTCTTCTCAAGGGGTAAGAGTTAAAAAAAGGTAGGAGGTCTTGTATGACTTATCCATTTTCTGATGTTAATGGGAGTTGTAGAAACCATACAGATTTTTTTTGGATTAATGTGATTAAAGAGTTTTTAGATTTTTCTACATTTGTAAGAGTACCTAAGAGTGAAAATGGAACAGTTGTTAATAATCTGCACTGTATTGAGCTTGGTGTTATGAAAGCTATGTTTTCTTTCTGATTTGATAGTTATTATTCTGGTTATATTTTTTCTATTAGAAGACACTGTACTGTTGTAAATAATCTTTTATCTGCAATCAGTGTGCCAAGCAATATAAGACAGACTCGATGATCATTAAGTTGTATAAAGCATTGGAAAGGTATTGAGTTTTTTTAATTTTTTAGTTTTTTATGGTCCTGTTATTTTATGTGATGTTTTGCCTCCTCAGTTTTTTGACCATTTTACTCTTTAATCTAATATTGTTTTTACGTTGAACAATAATGTATTATCTGAAAGTGTAATTAATGAAGCCACATTATTAGTTAATAGATTTTTTTATGAGTTTTCTGATTTGTATGGTAAAGAAAATATGTTTTGTATTAAAGAGTTATTTTAAAGCAGTTATATATATATAGAGCTTTTTTTAAAGCAGGTATTATATTTTAATGCAGTTTTTATTTAAGTAAACTAAAATCTTTCTCTCTCTCTCTCTCTCTCTCTCTATATATATATATATATATATATATATATATATATATATATATATATATATATATATATATATATATATATATATATATATAAATTTTATACAGTATTTATTATATGTTTTTATAAAATTGTTATTGATGTCCTTTAAATATTGTATAAACCATCTTTTTTTTTTAGCTTTAAAGACCCAAACGGAAATACTTTTAAAGTCAATTTTCGCAATTCTGTTTGTTTTGTTATGCTAATTTGTCAGTAGAGAACCAACAGACCACTGACTTCATAATTTTTCCATCTAAAATTATACTAAAATATCCTAATAAATACAATTTGAATTAGATGATATAAGTTATCAGAGAAAGTAAACAAAGTACACTTATTCGAAATAAAAAATGTAACTACTGCCATTTGGTTCTCGACTTTTTTGAAATGGGCTAAAAAACATGCTTAAGCATCATATTGCCTATAAGATACACTTACTGCAATATTTTTCTTTTTCACTAATATACAGGTTTAAGTTTTGCTTTATAATGACTATTATGTTTTTTACAGATTTAAATATCTATATCAGTACAGAAAAGTAGAGCTGTATGATTTTTTGTTTTGTTGATTTAAACAGTTGAAAATTTAAAAAAAAATTAGTTTAAAAATTGTAAAGTTCCTTACAAAAAAAAACCCAGAAAACTTCCAGTGAAAGTTTGCTGGGTTTTTAAATTATAATTATTTAGTTATTATAATAATTGATTATATATATATATATATATATATATATATATATATATATATATATATATATATATATATATATATATATATATATATATATATATATATAATTAAGTTTTTATTATTTTAAATATAATTATTATTTATATGCAGGATAAAAGTGATAAAATGCTATTGGTTGGAAATTGATAAATTAATAAAAAATGATTGATTCTAATTGCGCGAAAATATGTTGGTATGTTTTTATCTATCTTATACTGTTTTATTTTTGCTTATCATTTCACATTTTGTCTTATTTTGAATATTATGTTTTATATAATTATTAGTTAGTGTTTTACAAACACTAACTAATAATTATACAATTTTGATTGCTTTTAGATTTTGGATACTGCCTCTACCATTAACAAATTAAAAATAAAAGAAGCACTTCATATTAAATGGGAAAATCCTAAATATAAATTTATCTAACTAACTTACTACATTATTATTGTTATTTTAATATTAGGAGGTTTATTTTGTCATAATTTGTAATAAAATTTTTAATTGATTTGTAGCAAGTTTTGTAAATAGATTTGTCCATTTTGCAAGATTTGTCCATTAATTTTTTCTCTGTATTGTCTTCAGTTTTTAAATTTATTTACCAGAATATATATATATATATATATATATATATATATATATATATATATATATATATATATATATATATATATATATATATATATATATATATATATATATATATATATATATATATATATATATATATATATATATATATTAGTAAAAAGTCACTTAATAGAAAATTTTTTAAAAGTTTTCGATGTAACAGTGTAAAATGAAAAAAAATTTTTGTTAAGCAATTTTCTACTTATTTATAATTGCTCTGTTCTTTTAAGAACATTGAGCACTCTATTTTGTAGAATACATTTTGAATATTGTTTAAATATATATATATATATATATATATATATATATATATATATATATATATATATATATATATATATATATATATATATATATATATATGTTCTTTATTTATTGTATGCATTCTTTCTTTTTTTTTTCTTTTTTTTTTTTAGCTCTAAAGACCCAAACCGAAAAGAATGCCTAAAGTGGTTTTCAAAAGATGAATTGACGAATTTCTTAATTCTTTTTGTTTCGTTGTGATAATTTGTCTTATGAGAACGCTAACGAGAAAAAAATTTTTAAATATAGAAACATGCGTAATATAAAGTTTACTTATGCCTATAAAAAAATATGTTTTACATTAATTAATAAATTAACTTTTTAGTTTCTTGTTAAAAATTGTATTCTGTATTGAAGTTTATTTCTGAGAATTTGTAATTATACCTAAGATAATCTAATCCTACATTGTATTTTAATTTATAAAACTCGATATTTTAAAATAAATATATTACTTTTTTATCGCGCTTAACTTCTCTTATTTCGCGTTTATTGGTTAAAAAATTTTAAAATGTTTATAAACTTTTGAAACTTTTATAACAAAAATAAAAAATCCTTTTTAAAAAAACTTCCAGCGAATCTATTTTTATACATAAACATGAAAATTCGCTAGAAAAGTTCACTGGAAGTTCGCTGGGTTTCGGAACAAGTTCGCTGGAAATTTCCAGCGAACTTCCAGTGATCTTTAAAGATCACTGGAAAAGTTCGCTGGAAGTTCGCTGGGTTTTGGAACAAGTTCGCTGGAAATTTCCAGTGAACTTTAGAGATCACTGGAAAAGATCACTGGAAGTTCGCTGGGTTTTGGAACATTTTTTCACTGGAAGTTCGCTGGATTTTTTTGTAAGGGTTTCTGATGCCGAGAAAAAAACCTCATTTAGATGTCAATATAAAAGAGGAAACATTTTCTACATCTTTTATATGTTTAAATATAGAAGAGTGACACAACTGTTCGTAGGCGCTTAAGAGAGAACAGTTTATATGCACACAGTCCACGAAAGGTTCCTTTGTTGACAAAAAAACATACCGCTAAACGTTTGCAGTTCGCAAAGCAACATCTGAATTGGCCTATAAAAAATTGGCGCAACATCTTATGGACCGATGAATCGAAAATCGTTCTTTATGGAGGTACAGGTTCAAGACAATATGTAAGACGTCCAGCTAATACAGAATTTCAGAAAAAATATACCATTAAGTCTGTAAAACATGGTGGAACCAAAGTCATGGTATGGGGCTGCTTCTCATATAATGGTGTCGGCCCTATTTATAAGATTAATGGTATGATGGACCAACATATATATGTCAACATACTCAATAATAACATGCTGCTCTATGCTGTTGAAGACATGCCGCTAAAATGGGTCTTCCAACAAGATAACAACCCAAAACACACTAGTCATAAGGCAGAGGAGTGGTTTCAGGTCAAGGGGTTGAGGTTATGAAGTGGCCTGCTCAGTCACCCGACCTAAACCCAATGGAGAGACGTTAAAAAAGTAGTTTCTGCTGCTAATCCAACTAATGCTCAGCAGTTATGGATAGCTATTCAACAAGCATGGTACGCAATACCCAAAGAAAAATGTCAACATCCTTGTTGACTCAATGTATCGGCATTGCGAAGCCGTTATTCAAAACAAAGGTTTTACAACAAAATACTAAAGGTAAATATATTATTATATTATACTTATATAATTATAAATATAAATAATAAATTTTATAAATAATACTTATACTTATTATTATTTTATAAATAATACTTATATAATTATAAATATAAATTATAAATTTATAAATATAAATATATTATTATATAATACTTATTTTTAACTATTTAATGTTAAAAAATTAACTTTTTTAATGTTTAACTCTAAAAAAAAAAATTTTTTTTTTCCATTTTCAGATACAACTGCTATTTCAATGACTGCAATCTTTTTTTAATATTATTGTTTTGTTTCTGGAATAAAATGTAAAACTACTATTAATGTGATTTTTTTTATTCTATTAGATATAAGTGTCAAAATAAATATAATAAAAATTTTTTAGTAATTAGTAAAAAAAAAGTTGCTCAATAATATTCAAAATATTCTAAGTACTGCTATTTTCATGCTTACAGTTGTATATATATATATATATATATATATATATATATATATATATATATATATATATATATATATATATATATATATATATATATATATATATATATATATATATATATATATATATATATATATATATATATATATATATATATATATATATATATATAGCTCGGAAAATTTTGCAGTTCTTATTATATGTATATATCGAGTACTGCAAAATTTTCCAAACTTAAAGTTTGTAATATAATCAGTACACTTCAAAGCAACGGAATAACTTTTAAAAGTATTATCCATAAAAAAATCGAAAATGAGGTACGGTTCAATTTCAAATTAACTTCGGAGTCTTCATATATCTTCATTTTCAGATACAACTGCTATTTCAATGACTGCAATCTTTTTTTAATATTATTGTTTTGTTTCTGGAATAAAATGTAAAACTACTATTAATGTGATTTTTTTTATTCTATTAGATATAAGTGTCAAAATAAATATAATAAAAATTTTTTAGTAATTAGTAAAAAAAAAGTTGCTCAATAATATTCAAAATATTCTAAGTACTGCTATTTTCATGCTTACAGTTGTATATATATATATATATATATATATATATATATATATATATATATATATATATATATATATATATATATATATATATATATATATATATATAGCTCGGAAAATTTTGCAGTTCTTATTATATGTATATATCGAGTACTGCAAAATTTTCCAAACTTAAAGTTTGTAATATAATCAGTACACTTCAAAGCAACGGAATAACTTTTAAAAGTATATTCCATAAAAAAATCGAAAATGAGGTACGGTTCAATTTCAAATTAACTTCGGAGTCTTCATATAAGTTTACGGTAAAATTTGGAAAAAACGTCTACCTGATTCAAGAAAGGGTTGTCCAAATCTATGGTTAGAAAAAAAATAATAATAATATGGAATGAATGCATGTGTATGAATGCGTATCATCAAATGTTTGTATGTATGGCTACTTTTGGAGATGAATTAATTAAATTGATTATCGACAGGTTTAGCTTTGTTCTCTTAAAAAAATGGCTGACCAAAAAGTTGTGAAAAAATTCGCCTTGCAATTTGTTTTGTCGTTTTCAATTTGCCTACACTTTTATCCGCCATTATTTTAACCAACTTCTTTGCGCGTCGAATTACTTTAATTTCACCTTTTAAGCACCTTCACCTTCACTTCCAATTAATTTAATATCGCCTTTTTCATTAGAGAAAATACACCTCTTAGGTGTATTTTCCTTATGAAATGTTTTCAGCATTTTTAAGTATTTTTCTGATATAAGATCGCAAAGTCTTTTTCTGCTAGATCCCACTGTGACTGGTTCGGATTTCTTGCTATCAAACTTTACCTTTTTGGATTTATGAATAGTTTTCTTTCTTCCTCTTCCAGGTTTTCTTTCAAAGCTTTGAGTAGTCATGAACTTTTTTATAATATCAATGACTTTAGATTTTGGGATATTTGTACATTTAACAATCAAGCGATAAGAAGTCGATGGATTTTTGCAAAAAAAAATTCAAAACATTTTTACGCACCTCAACTTGTTTCCGAAACATTTGGAAAATAATTTACTAGTACACAAAAGCTTAACAACACAATTAAAGATAAGGAAGTACCGATTAATTAAGAAAATAAAAGAATTAAAAAGCATTTGTGGTTTTAGAGAAATCTTAATTTAAAGTTGACCGGATTTTTCCGTGTCCGCCAATTAATTTCAAAAAATCTTTGCACAACCTGAAAGTGTATTCAAGATTTCAAAGATTATATTTGATAAACGAGATTTAATGGTCGCAAGAAGTGATATTTAGAAAGCTATGAAAGATCAATGGTTGGAAAGACAAAGTAGTTTATTTGATTTAAGTCGTAAACACCACAGCAAAAGAAATGTTTAAATTTTTTTTGAATTTCTTTAGCAGTACAGCGGTTCTCTGTGACAATAATTTATGGTCCTCTTTGAGTATCGGCTTTCTTTTTTTTTTTGTTCTTTACTTTTAAACGGTATCTTCACTTGAAATTTTTTCTTTGTATATATTTTTATTTGCATTTTAAATATTGTAATAAAGAACTAAAACAAAAAAAAGGTGGTAAAGATTAATTGACTGAATTTTTAAAACGAAACCAGGAATTATCAATTAGGAAACCAGAATCTACACCAATCGGACGAATTTTGGCTCTTAATCAACTCAATGTGGATGTATTTTAAAACAAGTATTGTTCCAAAAGTTCTACTATTTGTCTCATCAGATTTTAAGTCAGACAATGCAGTTGTGGCTCGGAACCAAGGGGCACAAGGTTTGATGCAATTTCTTACCCAATGAGCAACATTCGTAAAGTAGGAGGCGTGAAATTCCTGTTAAATGCTCTTCTGTGATGCTCTGTGATAAGACTGTAATGACTTCTGGGAGCACTAAAATAACCAAATAAAAAAAGATCTGGAATGTTGACTACGACAGTTTAAGTGACCGAACACTTAATTGTAAAAAAAGGTGAACAACAAATATCTGCTGTCACCAATGCTAAACGTGGAATACTTGTGACTACCTTGCCAAATCTCACACATATATATATATATATATATATATATATATATATATATATATATATATATATATATATATATATATATATATATATATATATATATATATATATATATATATATATATATATATATATATATATATATATATATATATATATATATATATATATATATATATATACATAATATATATATATATATATATATATATATATATATATATATATATATATATATATATATATATATATATATATATATATATATATATATATATATATATATATATATATATATATATATATATATATATATATATATATATATATATATATATATATATATATATATATATATATATATATATATATATATATACTAGAATGGTGGAATGGTGGCATCAATGGAGTTAAAAAATGCCACCAAAGCAATCCATCGAGACTATTACATTAAGTGGAAAACAGCGCTAAAAGGGAAACCAGTGCGAGATTGATTCAAGTTTAGAAAAATTGATAAGAAATGAGGCAGCCAGGCAGCGTGAAATTATAAAGTGCATCTTAGATGTAATTCTCTTCTTAGCGTCACGCTTTTGAGGTATATTAGTGAATGTTAATTATTATATTTTTATTTATGTCATAATTTATTTTTATTATAATTAAACAGAAAGTCATGGTTTATATGTGTAAACATGTATTATTACATGTATGTATTAAAATCGTCGTTTAAGACTTCAAAAATGATCAATGATGACGATAACGGTAATTTTCTTGCAACTCTAGAGCTACTCTCAAAGCA